CACATACGAACCCAAACAAGAGATACAAGATTTACTTCCTCAGAAGTTGACAAAAAATCTTTTACATAGAAAAACACAACAAACAGAAATCCATTAGGCTTTGCTTACCATTAAACTGCATAACTATATTTTGTCATCTACATTATATTTTGTTCCCATTTTTCACTGGATCCATGTTATACCAAAATTAATAAGAAAAGAAAACTAAAGAAGATCTTTTTGATGGCATAAAAAATCTGTTGCTTGATTTTACTAATTGAGATTTTGTTTTCGTATTACACCCTCTGATCCAATTACTGGATTGTATTGCTTTATTTGAATCTTTTGATGTGGTATCAAACATACACATGTCTCTCTTATGTTTTATTTAGTACCAAGTTCTTTTTTAGACTTGTAATTAGTATTTTCTTCTCTAAATTTAATGTCCTGCCTATTATTGGATATAGCTTACCTAAAAAATAATATCTATGATTCTTTTTACCATTCGATGTGGGCATTATACTTATTCTTCTCTAATTACATCTCGTTTTTTTTTGTATGTGTTCTCCATCCTCTCAGACATCTTATTCTTCCTTTTGTGTACGTATGTTATTGACTATATTAGATTATGAATTTTTATTCACCGTATCTATTACAATCTTTGTACCCATATCAAACCTGTTTTTTTTTTACCAAAAAAAAAAAATCAAACTTCTTTTCAACGTCTCACACTAGTTTACAGATTTTTTTTTTCATCCAACGGTCAACATTGTCTTGTTTTTTAATCTAAAGGTTATGATTCTTTCTTTCCAGTTTTTCATTTGAGCAAACGCATCGAATTTTGATTTTTTTTTATTTGCTAAAAACTTGAAACCACTTCGTCTCTCGTTATAGCATCTAAGCGTTTTTAACGGGTAAACACTAGAGACAGTTTGGGAACGTAGAAGATTTTAACGTGTTAATTTAGCATCTAAGCTTAAGCTCATTGTTTTTTTTTTTTAAGCTCATTGTTAACAACTTAGATGCTAAATTATAAGTTGATTATAAGACATGTTAAGATCTCATATGTTCCCAAGCCGTCTCTAATGTGTATCCATCCCCAAAACGTTTTTGGTATGTGGACGTCGTACCAAATGAAGTCATTGTGCATCAAATGTTCAAACGCATGTCGATTATGTTCGCTTCAAAATGTTTCGTAGTTCCTTCTTCCTTTCTCTATCACCCAATAGTGGGGTTTTCTTGGTCGCCACAGAGTTCAAACGGTGGTTAATGAGGTTAAGAAAGAAGAGGGCGTTGATGATATCTTTGTTGAGGAAAATGATGAATGATTCATTGAGGAAAATAGCTGAGTGGAAGAGCATTGAAGAAAAGTCAAATGCGCACCTTCGGGACCTTGCCGATTGGAACTCCAAATTGAAAAAACATGACAGAGATGCTTCTAAAAGCAGCAAATGAATGATTCTCTCTCAAGCATCTCTGCGGTTGTCTCTGTGGTTCGTAGTAACTTTAAGTTTATCTTTTGTTTGCATCAACCTTATGTTCTTTCTTTGTCTTTGCGTAGTAGCTTGTAGTTGTCTCTGTTGGATTCATAGTAACTTCAACTTTATCTTCTCTTTGTAGTTTGTAGTTTGTATTGGCTTCTTAATGTATGCTCTGTCTTTTTTCTTTGTCTCTGCGTAGTAGCTTAAAATTTGTAGTTTGTAATCGCTATTAAGGGTTTAAGTTTCTTAATTTTATGTGTCATTGTGAATGTTTAAGAGAGTTAGGCAAAGAATAACTCTTGCACAAACAAAAATGATCTCTTCATGAGACAAGACTCCATCTTTTAAACTAGCTCTCTGTTTGCTTCAACACACTTGAAATTGCATCTCTGTTGGATGAGTTTGAACACATCATTTGCCAATGAGTCCGAACTTAAAACAACCAAGATACAAAACATGATAAAGCCTATATAAGAGGTTACAATCATAGAACAAAGTATGGTTTGGTGTGCGATTTTGTTAGGTTTGTTCAACTTGATGATGTTTTGAAGACCCCTACACAAAATGACATTCCATACCGATTAATATTTTTCCACATCCTTCGTTGTGGCTTAACTCTTAGACGACATAAGGTCATTAACCTCAGGTCTGATTCGTTCTATAGGTCATATGTTTGTTAGTTCAGTTCAATGTACTTTAGACTTTGGAGAAAATGGCTCTATACGGATCTAATTTGTAAAGGCCTACGTATTAGAGTGACAAAGTTTTTGAATAGTAATATCATTGCTACACAATTATAGTACAACCAGGGCCGTGCGAATCGTGTTACCAAAAAGGCAATTGCCTTAGGCCTCAATTAATTAGAAAAATTTTAGGGTCTATTTTAAAGATTTTTAATACTTAAATAGATGAAAAATCTCTACTTCACTTTTATTTAGGCTAAATTTTAGGGNTCNATTTTAAAANTTGTTTCATCTTACTTTATAATATAGGTTGTTTTTCGTTTTATCTTTTGTTTAACTTTTTTTATTCAAAATATTTTGTCGCATAATTTCTTAACCCATTTAATTTTTTTTTTATGTGTTACTAAATTAGTTTCTACCTTTACGTTTAATCTACTCACATTAGTAAAAATGATGAAGATCTGCACAATCTTATAAATATTAGTGTTATAATATGAACTATTTATGACTGATATATAATAAACACTTATTATAAAAAATATTATATACATTTTATCCACTATTTTGAATACTACTTTATAAAAAAATTATATACTATGTTTTTAAATTTAAATTAATTTTTATTATCAAATTCTGCCTTGGGCCCCCAAATAGCTAGGCACGGCCCTGAGTACAACTAGAACCAATAAAAATAGTGATAAGAAATAGTAACTACGCTAAAAAACCAATTTTTACGTAACACATCGTAATGATGGTACCATTCTAAATCGGTATAAAAAAATGGTTGTATAGATTATTGGAGCCTTATATATTTAAGGGCATCTGCAAAAGTAGAAAGATCAAGAATGTATAACATTTATAAAGTATACTCATATTTTTATAAAGGTGCTTCTTAAATATACTCATATTTTTATAAAGTAATTATCACTAGC